ACAGACCTAATGAATGATTTTCTTTTAAATGCACAAAAATCTGACTACATCAGGAAATAAAGCAATATGATTGGCTGTAAGGAGAGCAGAGACAGAGGACACTGAGTTTACTGCAAAAACTGCTACTGAACAGTTTAGCTTTGGGATAAAAAGTTACTATAGTGACTGAAACAGAGGTGAAGTAAACTCTCTGTGAACCGGAAAAGTCAGAGTTTCCCATATTTCAGCTTTAGAAAACTTTTTCTAAAGCTGTTTTCAGTTAACCTGCTCCATGAAACAGACCCAGGGTCCAGAATAGTGTATATTTGTATGAAATTCCAACCCAAGTCTCCATACAGCTCAGGTTTGCAGCCTCGACATGGGAAAGAACGGTAAATCATAATTCATAAGACAGACGTAGATGCTGGCCTGCAGAACAGAGAGAACAGAACATTTGTTTCTGTATAAAATTCCCCCACATCTCTCACTGTAACTATTTTTGTTTCGTTGTATGGAAAGATATAAAAAAAAAAAAAAAGGTGCTTACTTGTGAGTGAACAGCTTTAGAGGACCGTTTACAAAAGTTTGTGTCATAAAAGGAAAATTATTTATTTTCTTTCACGCTCATGGTAGAATTAGACATTGTGTCGATCCGTGAGAGTTCCTGTTATCTTGCAATCATTTGTGTGTTTGTTGTGTAAACACAAACCCACACATACACACTGGAACACATGTTACTACGACCTCAAACTTAGTTCTCTGATCGCATCACCATATTCAAGCAAAACACTTAGAACACAATACTTGACTCTTGTTCCTCAAACCTAAGCCCACCTTTGCATTTATATGTTTTTATTACTTTCAGTTCCTAATTGATTTAAGTAGAAACTTCATTGTAAACTACTAAAAACAGGATGTTTACCCACAACAGTACTCTACCAATAAGTGAGACGCTTATTTCCTACTTAAGAGGCTATTTCCTGCTTCATCACCACTTGTGTGCTCAACATCTTCTGGGAGTCAAGTTATTGCTCTTCTCTACCAACTAGAGTTAAAATGAACGAGGTTGGTATTATTTATTATTTATAAAACTTTTATATTTATAATTAATAAAAAAAGTTACATTTTTTTAATGTATTCTTTACTAGACTTTTAAACGAACGTCTACTTACATGTATTTTTATTTAAACGCATATACATGAGATTCTCATGACACTGTACCCTTTAGATTTAAAACTGACATTTTTTCCTCTATATTAGGAAAGTGACCAAGCAAAAAAGTGGCACATTGGATCCATAAAGAGTTTCCTTGTTTTATGCGTGGTGTTTGCTTTGCTTATCCTGTACTGGGAATCCCAAAGAAAAACCGAATTTGTCCCTTTGACTCATTTGAGAAAGACTGGGAATGTGACAATCCTTATCTGGTACTGGCCCTTCGGCAGCACATTTTCTCTAAAGGGTGATGTATGCTGGGATCTGTACAAAATACCTAACTGTAAACTGGTGGACCAGCGCTCCTTGTTCCCCTCAGCTGACGTCGTTGTGTTCCACAACAGAGAACTAATAGATGGTACCCAGAGACTTCCCACCGAGCTCCAGCGG